ACCCACCCACCCACCCACCCACTCACTCACTCACTCACTCACTCACTCACTCACTCACTCACTCACTCACTCACCCACTCACTGTACATGAACATACATGCATACACACAAACTCACCCACCATCACCGCTCCATCACTCTTATACTTCCTCTTCCCTTCTTGCTCTTCTATGGTCAGTCTAAGTCTAAAGAAGTTGGTAACATGTGGGGTTATCCGGTCCTTTAATTTTTAAGTTGTTTACGTGTAGGTAGGCATACGTATTAGCGACGAAAGAGTGGGTATGTATGTTACGGGTAATGTAGCACGAGGAGTTCAAGGTTGTCTATAATTTGACGATCTGGTTAGGTATCCGCATGTTGTCAATTTTTTTGATCACGTTTTTCTCGCATACACTCTTTTCATTTGTTTCTTCCTTATTTTTCCAGGTACACTTTTTTCACTATTTGTTTCACTATTCTTTTTCCAGGTACACTTTTTTCACTTTTTATTTTCACTACTTTTTTTCCAGGTATATTTTTTTCACACTTTTTTTCACTATTTTTTCCGGGTACACTTTTTTCACACTTTTATTTCACTATTTTTTTCCAGGTACACTTTTTTCACACTTTTTTTTTTCACACTTTTTTTCATTATTTTTTTTCCGGGTACACTTTTTTCACACTTTTTTTTTCACTATTTTTTTCCAGATACACTTTTTTTTTCAGATTTCAAAAGAGTAAAAAACGTGTACCCTTACGAGGAAAATGCATTTTTTTTACTAATTTTGACTGTTTTCCTCGTAAGGGTACACTTTTTTTACTTCTTTTTTCTATTTTTCAGATTTCAAAAGAGTAAAAAACGTGTACCCTTACGAGGAAAATGCACATTTTTTACAAATTTTGAATGTTTTCCTCGTAAGGGTACACTTTTTTTACTCTTTTTTACTATTTTTCAGATTTCAAAAGTGTAAAAAAAGTGTACCATTACGAGGAAAATGCATTTTTTTTACTAATTTTGAATGTTTTCCTCGTAACGGTACACTTTTTTTACTGTACTCTTACGAGGAAAATGCATTTTTTTACTAATTTTGACTGTTTTCCTCGTAAGGGTACACTTTTTTTACTTTTTTTTCTATTTTTCAGATTTCAAAAGAGTAAAAAAAGTGTACCTTTACGAGGAAAATGCACTTTTTTTTACTAATTTTGAATGTTTTCCTCGTAAGGGTACACTTTTTTTTACTTTTTTTTTCTCTATTTTTCAGATTTCAAAAGTGTAAAAAAAAAATAAAAAAAGTGTACCCTTACGAGGAAAATGCACTTTTTTTACTAATTCTGAATGTTTTCCTCGTAAGGGTACACTTTTTTTACTGTGTTTTTTATTTTTCAGATTTCAAAAGTGTAAAAAAAGTGTACCCTTACGAGGAAAATGCACTTTTTTTTTCTAATTTTGAATGTTTTCCTCGTAAGGGTACACTTTTTACTCTGTTTTACCATTTTTCAGATTTCAAAAGTGTAAAAAAAGTGTACCCTTACGAGGAAAATGCACTTTTTTTACTAATTTTGACTGTTTTCCTCGTAAGGGTACACTTTTTTTATTTTTTTCCTATTTTTCAGATTTCAAAAGTGTAAAAAAAGTGCACCCTTACGAGGAAAATGCACTTTTTTTACTAATTTTGTCTGTTTTCCTCGTAAGGGTACACCTTTTTTACTCTTTTTACTATTTTTCAGATTTCAAAAGTGTATACGAGGAAAATACACTTTTTTACTAATTTTGACTGTTTTCCTCGTAAGGGTACACTTTTTTTACTTTTTTTTTAAAACAATTTTTCAGATTTCAAAAGTGTAAAAAAAGTGGAAAATGCACTTGTTTTGCTAATTTTGACTGTTTTCCTCGTAAGGGTACACATTCTTTACTCTTTTTTACTATTTTTCAGATTTCAAAAGAGTAAAACAAGTGTAACCTTACGAGGAAAATGCACTTCTTTTACTAGTTTTGACTGTTTTCCTCGTAAGGGTACACTTTTTTTACTTTTTTTTTCTATTTTTCAGATTTCAAAAGAGTAAAAAACGTGTACCCTTACGAGGAAAATGCACTTTTTGTACTAATTTAGACTGTTTTCCTCGTAAGGGTACACTTTTTATAGATTTATTTATTATTTTTCAGATTTCAAAAGAGTAAAAAAAGTGTACCCTTACGAGGAAAAATGCACTTTTTTTACTAATTTTGACTGTTTTCCTCGTAAGGGTACACTTTTTTTACTCTTTTTTTCTATATTTCAGATTTCAAAAGTGTAAAAAAAGTGTACCCTTACGAGGAAAACGCACTTTTTTAATTAATTTTGACTGTTTTCCTCGTAAGGGTACACTTTTTTTACTCTTTTGAAATCGGGAAAAAAAGTGTATCTGGAAAAAAATAGTGAAAAAAAATGTGAAAAAAGTGTACCCGGAAAAAAATGGTGAAAAACATAGTGAAAAAAAGTGTGAAAAAAGTGTACTTGGAAAAAGAGTAGTGAAAATAAATAGTGAAAAAAGTGTACCTGGAAAAAGAATAGTGAAACAAATAGTGAAAAAAGTGTACCTGGAAAACAAATAGTGAAACAAATAGTGGAAGAAGTGCACCGGGAAAAACATAGTGAAAAAAGTGTACCTGGAAAAAATGTAAATTTCACCTGTGCCATTGATGTGAGTTGCGCGGGTGACACGTGCTACTCTTTACGTCCTGGGTAGCTGGAATGCCACTTGATGCGTGTTACCATGCAAAGGCCAGCAGAATTCCAGTAAGACCCTTTCTTCTCTTTGTTTGTGCAGTTCTACTTCCCTGGCATTTTCCCTACTCACACAAGTCACTATTTTTTTTTACTATTTGTTTCCAGGTGCAGTTCCAGTCACACATTTTTTTTACAGTTTTTTTTTTCACTATTTATTTCCAGGTACACTTCAAGTCACAATTTTTTTTACAGTTTTTTTACAAATTAATTATTTTATGGTTTCCAGAGGTTGGCTAAAATCCCCCTTCACAATGATAGGGACAATAATGGGGAACATGATGGGAATATGATGGGAAAATTATTGGGAATATGATGGGGAACATGATGGGAACATATGGGAAAACATTGGCAAATATAGGGAAAATGATGAGACAATGATGGGGAAAATGGTGGGAAAACATAGTGATTCAAGCAACAAACATAGTGACATGGTGTGATTTTTCATGGTGATTTAATTGGACGTTGATCATGTTTCATATGAACATTTTCTGGATATTTATGATCCATTGAAATTGAAGAATCCGAAATCATCTGGAAAGCATCTGGAAATCATCTGGGATCCAACCACAGACGACTGACATCCAAGGAGTGTGTGGATGAATGCTTCCTGGGCGTCATCGCACAACAGCCCGAATCGCTCAGTTGCTCGGAGACAGGGCAGGGGACAAATGGCAACGTGGGATCCACAAGTTCCCGACGGCCCGGCTTGGAATCTGAGGAATGTATGTGCGCACTGTGTCACTTGGCAGATGTTGGATTCCACCTTTCTGTTCCTATGAAAAAAAAACCCAAACACGGGCGGTTTTGAGTGCTTTGCAGTGGTTTCCAGGTGCGATGCTTGCAATTTTAGCGAAGGAAGGTTCCGGGCATTCGTTCTTGTATGGGTTATTAAACATAGAAGCGGATCCATGTGAAATTTGTGATTGTTACCCTCCGGTAATGAAACATAATGGAAAATCTGCCAATTTGTTCGATGATTTTCCCAGGCTATAAACACAATTTATATATTATTCATCTCGGTAAAACAGTAATAATAAACAATCCCCCAAATTACCATAAATAGGTGGTATAAATCATTCCCAAATGGATGGTTTATGGCATTGTTTTACCCACATTAGTGGATTTTCTTGCTTGGCACCTTTGATGACACCGGAACAGGGCTGGGTTCCATTTTTCCATGAACTTCTGAGAATTTGTTGTGTAAGCCAAAGCTATGTGATATATAATATATATATATACAGACAGACATACATACATAGATACATACATACATACAGGCATACAGACAAACAGACATACAGGCATACAGACATACAGACATACAGACATACAGACATTCAGACATACAGGCATACAGGCATACAGGCATACAGACATACAGACATACAGACATACAGACATACAGACATGCAGACATGCAGACATGCAGACATGCAGACATGCAGACATGCAGACATGCAGACATGCAGACATGCAGACATACAGCGATACAGACATACAGCGATACAGACATACAATGATACAGCGATACAGCGATACAGACATACATACATACAGACATACAGACATACATACATACATTTATACCTTCATACATTCATACATTCATACATTTATACCTTCATACCTTCATACATTCATACATTCATACATTCATACATTTATACCTTCATACATTCATACATTCATACATTCATACATTCATACATTCATACATACATTCATACATACATACATACATACACTCATACATTCATACGCTCATACACTCATACCTTCATACACTCATACATTCATACATACATACATTCATACATTCATACACTCATACCTTCATACATACATTCATACATTCATACATTCGTACACTCATACCTTCATACACTCATACATACATACATACATTCATACATTCATACATTCATACATTCATACACTCATACCTTCATACACTCATACATTCATACATACATACATTCATACATCCATACATTCATACACTCATGCCTTCATACACTCATACATTCATACAATCATACATACATACATTCATACATTCATACATTCATACATTCATACACTCATACCTTCATACACTCATACATTCATACATACATACATTCATACATTCGTACACTCATACCTTCATACACTCATACATACATACATACATTCATACATTCATACATTCATACACTCATACCTTCATACACTCATACATTCATACATACATTACATTCATACACTCATACCTTCATACCTTCATACATACATACATTCATACCTTCATACACTCATACATTCATACAATCATACATACATACATTCATACATTCATACATTCATACATTCATACACTCATACCTTCATACCTTCATACATACATACATTCATACCTTCATACACTCATACATTCATACAATCATACATACATACATTCATACATTCATACATTCATACCTTCATACCTTCATACATACATACATACATTCATACCTTCATACACTCATACATTCATACAATCATACATACATACATTCATACCTTCATACACTCATACATTCATACACTCATACCTTCATACACTCATACATTCATACATTCATACACTCATACCTTCATACACTCATACATTCATACAATCATACATACATTCATACATTCATACATTCATACACTCATACCTTCATACCTTCATACATACATACATTCATACCTTCATACACTCATACATTCATACAATCATACATACATACATTTATACATTCATACATTCATACATTCATACACTCATACCTTCATACCTCATACATTCATACATACAACATTCATACATTCGTACACTCATACCTCATACACTCATACATACTACATACATTCATACATTCATACATTCATACACTCATACCTTCATACACTCATACATTCATACATACATTACATTCATACACTCATACCTTCATACCTTCATACATACATACATTCATACCTTCATACACTCATACATTCATACAATCATACATACATACATTCATACATTCATACATTCATACACTCATACCTTCATACACTCATACATTCATACATTCATACACTCATACCTTCATACACTCATACATTCATACATACATACATGCATTCACACACACACATATATATATATAAATATCATATCACATCATTCATCTGATCATATATCCCCCCATTGTCCCCATTCTATCCCCATGATCTTCCCAGCCCCGATGAACTTTACTGGCCGGTACCCTGAGGATCGGCATTTGGGCGCCCTTCTGCGAGCTGCTCATTGCTTTCCATGCCTGGAAGTACCCCATCAAGGGCGCCAGGCGATGAACACCATGGACACCATGGATTTTAAAGCATGGAACGTTGGAATTCAAGGGAATAAACCACCAAAAATGAGGAGATCTACTCAGAACAGGTCAGAATCTGAAGCATACATGATGATGGAAAAAGGGTGCATTGTATGGGATTTAAAACCAATAACCGTGGAGATTTAACTTCTCGGGAAATAACGATTGGGGTCACAACTTTAATCTTCATCTTGCGGAAAGATAGCTGGCTATATCTATGCAAGAAACTGCTATTTGAAGAAACATGCTGTGCAACATGTCCAAAGTCAACGGATTCTGATTTTTGCAATTGGATGCATTCTATGCATGTGAAACAGTATTAACATATTTTCTTCTCAGACTGGTAGAACTTTTGAACATTTGATGTGCCCTCCAGCAATTTAACCTGGCAATGGAAACTCCCTGATTTTGTTCCATGTTTTTCCATATTTTCCAGCTATTTTTCCATGACAAGTCGGGATCTTCCATCGCCATCTGAAAATTAAGCCTCAGATCCCTCCCACGTTTGATGGTTAGGCTCCGACGTCTCTACGCTGGGATTTGCCAGAGCCGAGGGGAAGTGCCTTGTCGAGTCGGTCGCAGGGAGCAGGTGGTGGATTCTGTTGAGGGGTCAATGAAAAGATGATGTTTTCAATGGCACACCGATGGGGATTTTTCCGAGGACTACTGTATATGCTTAGTGTTTGTTTTGGGCTGGTGTGACTGAAGCCCAAGATCTGGGTTGGACAGGTTGAAATATCTGGGTTTTCAGCAGTGTGACTGGTCACCCAAATCCCGGGGCCATTTGGCGAGGAGATCAACCTGAAGCCGGAAGAGACGGGCACGCCGCATACGGGCAAGTCCAGGATCGTTCTGAGTATGGAGGTGCCATATGGGGATGGAAGGGGGGCTTACTGGTGCTTAGTAAGTAGGGAATGTTCGGGAATGATCCACAATAACAATTAATAATCATCCCAGCAACCCACAGCAACCCATCCATTCCCTACTAATTAAGCACCAGTAAGCCTGGTAAGTCCTCTAAGTGGCTACATGCTAATACCGTGGGGTGATCCCTTGAGGCGCAGAAGAGCATCCGCAGCAGTGGTGGCCGCCTCAAACGCCAGCAGACCGAAGGAGACGGGCTGCTGTGGAGGCGAGGTTCGCGAGATTCGGGTGGTCCGAGGTTCAAAAACCAAGGGACTTTCCATGGGATTTCACCATCAATCATAGGGGTGTTATGAGGTTTGAACTATCACAGATCTTGGGGACGATCAATGATGGTTGGAGGATTAGTTTGGGGCTTCAACCATCATTGGGGTCTTAAGATGTCTTAAGAGTTTGAACAATGAAGAATATGATGCCCTCTGGTAAACTAACAGTTTGCTATTGAAAATGGCCCAGTCGAAATAGTTGATTTACCCATTAAAAATGGTGATTGTCCATCGGTTCTTGTATGTTTACCAGAGGGTAAATATGGCGATGTACTTGAGATTGATTGATGGGGTGGCCTCAGGGAGTGACATTGACAGCCCCTGGCCCCTCGGGCCATGAGGGCTGATTATCGAACTAAATGGGACAGTGGGATGCAGTGGGTCTAAAAGTTTTGCACGACCTACACTGGATATATGATGAAAAATGATGAAAAACATGTCTGAGATGGGCTTCTAAAGCATTCTAAACCAACATCTGCACTGTGGGGGGGCTGTTTGAGGATTAAAAGATGGAGGACTGGAGCCCCCCCAAGCCCTGGTCACCACCAGGTTGGCCCATACCACCGCGATGGTGGAAGCTTGGCCTGGAGCCAAGTCGTTGTCCGTCTTCTTCGATGTTAATGAGGCACCCCCTGGGGCGAGTAGTGGCGGGTGGGTAGTGGGTTTGGAACATATTGCAAGCTACTTATATCCATGGGATATGCCACGAAATGGGGGCTTGGAACATCAGGATCAGCAACCACTACCAAGTAAGCTGATCCTCCAAGTAGTGCCAGTGCGTTTCGATGATTTTCGAGGACATTTCTGAGATTCTTGACATAAACCCCGGTCCGACTAAAATGCCCTGAAAATAAGGCTCTGGGCAGCACTTAGCAAGATGAGTTCTTGGCAAGAAAGCAGGGGCTGAATATTCCCTGCCAGGATGGACCCCATCAACTTGGAGGAATTGGAAGACTCCAGGGGGCATTTTACCACCATCTTTCAGGGGTGCTTGATGGTGAGATCACTAGTGAATCACTGGGATGATGTTTGGATAGGATGGGATGACCATACCCTCTGGTTATGTCAAAATAGCTATTGAAAATGGCCATAGAAATAGTGGATTTTCCCATTAAACATGGTGATTTTCCATCGTTTTTTGTATGTTTACCAGAGGGTACCACGTTCATCCCATTTTCTGCTTGACCATGGCCAACCAGAACGTTTGCAGGCGGGACCCCAGGAAAATCGGGTGAGTAAGACCAGCAAGACCGGCGTTGCCGCCATGGACGCCATGGCTGTGGTGATTGGTTCAGAGGCCGGTGCCTTTTAGTGCCATGCCTGGGGGGTGAACAGGGTGTGGTGCGAAAACCATACTGCAATCAGTTGGCATGTTGGAAGTTGGCAAGGCACTTACAGGGCTCGTGGATTTTTGGGTGTTTTTTTTTGAAGGCGGGATTAGGGGGTTACTGTAGATCTCACAAAACTAAGGGTATAAGACCAATCATTTATTGGGGATAAGATGTAATGGGGGATCCAGAAGCTGTGAAAGGTGATGTTTATGAAACTGGGTGGCTGCCCAAGTCCAACTGGATTTCTACCACCACCCTCGTGTTGGCGGAAATGGTCTATCATTGGGTCAACTGGGAGTTTCCTCCAGGGGGTTTGCAGCCCGAGACTTAGCTCATACTTAGCTGTGCTATTCCCCTAGTTGTGGCTCCACTTGGCTGGTTAGAGACTTTCGGCATATTGGGCTGGGGGGTCTTCCGGCAGGCGGAGGGAGAAGTGGCCAAAGAATCTGAAGAGGCAATTGTTGGTCACTTGAACTTGTCGCTGAGTCACTAGTGAATGATCTTCCTGACCTTCTAATGACATCTACCCTCTGGTAATTTAACATAGCTATTGAAAATTGCCATTTATAGTGGATTTTCCCATTAAAAATAGTGATTTTCCATAGCTATGTTAGTTTACCAGAGGGTATCTTGATGGCTGGTCATTTGCTCCTTAGCTGCTGCAGTTCTCCAGCTAAGTGGGCAGGTCGCAGCACCGTGGACTGAGATTGTGCCCAACACCCGCCTGAGCCTGTAGGCTGCTGCCTGGTCAACCGTATTCTCTATTGCTCTGGAAATTGTAGCAACAAACATAGAAGTAAAGCAAACAGTTTAAGGGGTTATATGTATACTGTATACTGTATACTCTCTCCCTCCCCCTCTCTCTCTCTATACACGCATTATATGTCTATCGGGATACAAATGGGAACGACCAGGAAAATGATGATAAAACAAACTGAATGACTTCGAGCCAGGCAGTTGCTGATGTGGGGAAATATTATCTAGACTGCACGAAAAGCACCTGTCCCAGGGACTGGGATGGTTGAGATATGTTGAGATTGCTTCAAACATCTGAAAGGAGTTGAGATAAATCATGAACCGACTAACGTTTAATCGATGGATACACCAATGTTTTGCTGCCAACCTTGGGGTTCAAAGTGAGCCCATTTGGGACTCCCTGGCGAGGTGGGATGAGTCTTGGAAAAGTGCCAGGTATATTTTTTGGGCCGTTGGTAACGACCGAGCTTCGCCGCAGCAACTGAAAAAGCGGAGGATTTGGAACTGGATCTGTTGAAAAGTGGTGAGCCATGAGCCAGGGTTCAAAATTCAAATTGCTCGCTTCAAATCACTTCAAATCCTCGGGTGGTTGCATTTTGCAGGGGCTTGCATTACAGAATTGATATGTCTTCCTTCAGTCGTTGGCTTAAAGCCAACGGCAACGGACCTGCGCAGCTGCGCGGGGAGATTTTGTGCCGGCACTGGGATGTGCTGAGGATTTTGGCTGTCTTAAGTTAGGGTTTCCGTGACATGGGATGGATTTCTTGTTGGATCTTTTTTGACACACGTGACTCGGGTTCTTTTGTCTTGATCCTGCGACTTGGTTGGAATGAAAAACAATCCCTGTCATGCCAACCTTGGTGACACAGTCAGAGTGAGGGTTAGCCCTTGAAGAGGATCGCCCCGCTTCGAAAGCGCTTTGCGTTAATCCAGCGAGCCGCTAATGCTGGCGAGCGAATTTGCAGCGACAAAGTCTGCGGCTGCTAACAGGGACACCAAGGACAGGGTGCAGCCTACTGTTGGGACATTTTGAATTCTGATGTTCAGGGGAAGCGATAGCCAACCATTCATTTGGGCAATATAGTCCTACTAGATGTTGGCAGGAATGGCTCTTTGCTGTTTCGGCATTCCTCGCTGATGAAACAGCTTCAACAACTTCCTTGATGACATCATGTACCCAACATATCATATAACTAGCTGAAAGATCGCAAATGATTGGTGGCTTTCAATCGCCTTTTGTCTTCATCTTGTCAGTCTTTTGATAGTTAGTAATGGGGCAGATGTTTCAGCCTCCATGCAGGCACTCTGCCATTTTTGAAACTTTAAGAGCCCAGAGACCATCAGATTTTGGTTTTGTTACTCGTTGACCGTTAACCCGTCCTATTTTGAGGTACCCTCACCATTCTAGTTCTTGTAACTGAAGGCTTCCAATGACCTTAGGCTACCCAATTTCAGTCACCCATCCGTTGCAAATTGATGACAATTTCAGGGGCCTATCTGCCCACAATATCCCACAATCATGTCTAAAATCCATGCCCACATGCCCTTTATCATAGACCGTTTTCGCGATCGCATTTCTGTTGTGCCAAACCGTCGAATCATCCCAGCTCATCTTAATGGGGAAGATCATGGAGCTGGTTGCCCCTAAAATGGTGGTATGTCGTTCATCCTGCGATCGAACCCAGGGTGAAAACCATGAAAATCCCAGTTGGTTGAATGATTCACCCATCTAACATAATCTGACTAGTTCAATATTATAACTATAAATTTAACATAGCTATGGAAAATCACAATTTTTGATAGGGAAATCATTGATAAATGGGACATTTCCATCTCGCAAGCTGTCGAATTACCAGAGGGTATAGAAATACATGGATGACCATACCCAACATATACATATATATATATACACACATATATATATATATACATATAGTTGCTTAGTTCTATATCCCACCATTATCCCAGTCTATCCCAATGGATATCCCAACAAGGTGGCGCCCCCCAGTTGTAAGTTGGTTTATAAACCCTAGTAGCTATAGATATGATACACCTACCATTTTATATACCGATATACCTTGCATATACCTTCCAGTTGGCCAAGTTTGCTAAGTCAAGTTCGTTATGGGGCACCACCTTGAAGAAAACCTCCAGCCATGGAAGCAAGGCATTGTCGCCAGCGACCAGTCGACCCTCCCAGCCTGCTGGGAACGGAGCCCATGTTGCAGGCGATGTTTTGGGCATCGAAAAGCATGGCAGACACGGCATACACATGGGGGTTTTCCGAAAAAGGGGAGTAGCCCCAAATCATCCATTTTATTGTTCCAAAACCATCACATGGTTAAACCATGTTTTTAACCATGTCAAAGCATGTCAAGCCCTCACCAAATCATTGTATAGACCCTAAACATTTGGCCAAACCCCAATTGCAGGTTCTATGTGCATGTGGGGCATGGTAGGTGATCTGGAAAGTGGTAATTTTCTGCGGAATTGGGTGAGTTCACCCCTGTTGTTTTTGTGCGATATTCAGTTTCTGCCCAGTTGCTGGCAATTTACGATCTTCCAGTCCAGGATTACTGAAGTTGGGCCACAATGTCTGAGAATTTGTTTGTTTTGAACACCCGGAGTTTCGGTGGGTAAACTCTCAGATGTTTTCAGTTGTTTTCCGTTACTCATGTTTGCCGTCGTTGAATCATGCAGAAAAATTGGGTGCAAAGAGATGTGGGTTTCTCCCACGATTCTGTGCAGCGTGCCGAACTACCAAGCTGTTCCCTGGCGAGCAGCCTGAAATTTGCCGAGCGCAAAAACCATTGCTTTTTTAAGGATGCACATAACATAACCCGAAAATTGACACAGCAAGCCCTCAAAAGGGATGCAGAAACCGCAACATCAATTTTTTGAAGTAGTTCTACATTGAAGCTTTTCATTGCTTTTCTTGGTTACTTACCCTGCAGTAATTCAACATAGATGTGGAGCAATCACCGTAAAAGTAGATCATGAATGATCATGTTTCTAAGGAATTTTTCCACATCTATGTGAATATTTTCCGAGTGCACATCGGGTATCATTCTGATTCCAAATCTTCGTGGCATTTAAACGGCGGCATCTCCTTCGGGGAAGCCGCCCATGCGTTACCCGTGGGCGACATTGCTGGTGCCGTGCCATCCGTGCCATGGTGGTACCATGCTGCAGGAGTTTGTAGAGAAGGTGGAACGTGGCGATCTGGTACCTGGTCATTTCATGGCTTCAATCTGTGGCTTTTAAAGGGATAAAACATGGGGATTTTTTGGATGACTTGTTGATGGTGACATCGAGAAAGCTGTCTGCAAATTAATATGGGGTATTTCATGACGGTGGTGTGGGAAAACGTTTGGCGACTGGTTGTTTTTTTTGTCTTTTTTCCTCTCCCTTTACTTTATTTAAAATCTTAAAACTTGACGGGGCAATATGTATATACAGTACTGTATACTGTATATTAATTCGAAAATCATCGAACCAAATGGGAGATTTTTCGTTGCCATGTTTTGATTCCCGGAGGGTAGCTGTGTTTGAAGAAATGAAATGATTGACATGGTAGAAGTAGTTGTGGCTTGCTATTGGGCTTACAACTCGCACCAATACTGTACATGGATTGTGCACCTCTCAAACCCTGTGGCTTCCTCATTGCCAAATCGTCAATCGCGGGAGGGTGTTTGATGGCAGAAACCAATCCATTTACCACCTTTTACATCCCAAGTGGCACAATTATGTAGGTACCAGGTATGACCTACTTGTATCATTAAATTCCAGTGACCACTTCGGGTTGTTCCCCCTACCCTTGAAGTCCATGCCTTTCCCAGCCCCAGGACGGTATCCTCTCCCTGCAGATCTCGGAAGCAGCACCAGGCCTATCCCAGGAGCTGCGGGCCGTGGTGGGCGCCTGGCTGCCTCAGATCCTGGTGCCCTGTAGGGCCGAGCTGTCGCCCGCGCAGAGGCGGAAGATGTTGGAAGAGCTGGAGGAAGGCGGCGGAGCTGCAAATGTTTGCAAAAACGCCATGGAAATCCAGGTTTCCCGTTTTGGACATGATCTACTTTCATGGTGGATTTTCTACATCTATGTTAGTTTAGAGGAAAATCCTGTTTTTTTCATTGTCAGGTTGCAGGGCCAGAAGGTCTTTTTGGTACAAATCTGGTGTGGAATCACTCCCCAACCTTTGGGGGAGTTGTTGGGCGGGGGCTGTTTGTTCGTATTCTGCTACTTGTGCTATTTGGATGGTAAAAGCCATGGGTTTCCAGCAGATTCTTTTGAATTTCATCGCCAACAGTTCCGGGTCAGGCAACCAGCACCTGTCGCGCTTCGCCACCGCCTTGACCGACACGGCTGCGGCCATGGCGCCCAAGCACGCAGTGCTGGCGGCGGTGGCCTCGCGCACGCAGCGCGAGGGGAGCATGGCGCCGGACTGCCGGATGTTGACCTCGGTGCTGCCCGAAGGACCTGGTGGACCTGGCGATCTCCCGGAGGTTTTCGTGCAGGGGACCCCAAATCACCCATGGACCATCGAAAGAGTATAGAAAGCTATGGTTTTGGGGATGCCCCATGACTTAAGAAGCCACCAAATCATCATTGGTTTTGGAGATTACTATGATGGACTGAAAATCCCCAGCTTATATTGGATATATAGTTGAATCTCATCATCCACCTTTGGTGACGTGGCTAATGTCAACATCGGATTGGTAAATCGACTGGTGAAGGGTAGGCCAGCAACAATGGGGAACCTCTTACCAAACATGGGAAATTGACGGGGTAAATCGCCAACATGCGTTGGAAAACTGGCTAAGTAATTTTTGGAATGATATCGCCTGTTCTTTACAGTTTTGACCGGGGTATATGTTGCCCTGCAACAACAGTTCTTTTGTATGAAATCCAGCATTGGCCATGACTGGGGCTGAGTTCATGGTATTTCGCAGATGTGGTTAATATCTGGTTCGCGGAAGCTGCTTGTAAACGCGATAAAAATCAGGAATTGGCGACTTACAATGCAAGACATAGTTACCGCATCAAACATATCAAACCGCACTTGATTCATTGTGTATCTCCCTTACCAGCTACGAATGAGTGACTGAGTGTGGCATGATTCCAGGACCTTGCAGCTTGATCCTGAACGTTGGACTGATGTGCCTTTGGAGTTTGTTACAAGCGGCAGAGCGTTTGGAGCACTTTGACACCTGGGCATTCGAAGGCTGCGAGGGAAGCAGTGGTATTTTAGGTGGAGAACGCAAGGTATGAACTTGGCCCGACAGTTTTGTCATTGTTTGTTTAAGTTTGTTTCCTTGTTTCTTCATGTCCACTGAGCGCTGCCTCAAACTTTGAAGCCACCAAAACTGCTTGATGGGATACCACGAAAGAGCCGCAAGCGTCTTTCACATGTCCCAAAATGAGCTCAAGAGACACAATGTGATATAAACCAAAAGCATCAAAACCACCATCCCCAAATTTTACCAGAGGTTTATTTCAGTGCTTTCAACCAATTTCAACCCCAAAAGTTGGAGGATTGGATCCCCAGCTCCAGGGGTTCAGGTGTGCCCTTGGAGCAGACGCGCAGTTGGCGCTTTCGCCCTGAGATGGGCCACAGCCCGTCCGAGACCTTGGTCTCGTTGCTGATGCAACGGCAGGGCGCACAACGTGGCTGGGACTGGGGCCGGGAGGGTTGGCATCCTGGGTTAACCATGGTCAAGCCTGTAGCAATGTGGCAATAAGGCCTGATGAATAAGGTATAAATAAATAAATAAATAGATAAATAGATAAATAAATAGATAAATAAATAAATAAAAATAAAATAAAATAAATAAATAAGAATAAATAAATGAATAAATAAATAAATAAATAAATAATAAATAAATAAATAGATATATAAATAAATAAATACACACACACACATATATATATGAATATACACTATATACAGTATATATATGGACTGTGAACTGGTAACGGCCGTTGCCACCAAATCCCAATTGATCTGAACCCCGTCAGATGACAAATGAAGGTTGAATCCGATCCAACAAGAAATGAAATCAGGTGTCCCACACCCAGAATACGCAGCGACCTTTTCAGGCTCACCGCTCCAGGCAAAGTCATGGCTGTCCTCAGCTAGACCTCATCCCTACCCTCCTCATTCAGCCTCGAACCGGAAGGGCCACATGAGGATTTGGTTCCATGCTGGCTGGCAAGTGTAAATGGCAGAGAATCACATCAAGGCACACATATAGTGGAATTCACATGGACTAACTATAGAATACCACGGGTATACATATATATATATATATTATATTTACAATTTATAGCCATGTACTCATCACCAGCTCTTGTGGTGAAGTCCTACTAAAACAATTTTTGTCCACTGGGTTCGCTTGAGGGTGTGGTCGGGAGCCATGGCAGGTGATGGGTCAAAGCCATGGTCTCTTACCCGCGCTGATCCTGTGCTCCCCCTTGAAATCACCACCCTGCCAGAAAAAATGCACCCCAGTTGCCAGTTTCCAAACCAACTTCGCTCTCCCCATACTGAACAAATTATTTAAAACACAGAGTTTTACAGCATGTTTATCCAAAAATTGCAGATCCCCCATCTTCTGGCTATTTGATGCCATTGTATTCATGGTCACCGTAAACAATCATTGTATTTCTTCATCAAAGGTTTTACCTCACCAAACAAACCAACACCATCACCAGATTTTCATTTCTCCCACCTCCCTTCCATTTCCAACCCCGCCACCCCTCAGGCATGGCTGAGCTGGGCGTCTTCGAGGCCAACTTGTCCCTTGAACTCCTGCAGCAGCTGCCATCGCTGCAGATGCTGCTGGTGGATCCCTACCACCTCCGTCTGCGCGGCCGCGCGGAGGACCAGCCGCAGGGCCGCAGCGAGGCGGCGCTGCAGCTGGCAGCGGAGAAGCTGCAGCACCTGCGGCCGCGCGCCACGCATCTGTTGCAGGGATCCATTGAGGCGGCGCAATGGGTGGAGAGGAGCATGTATGGAGAGGGGGGAAAGGGTCCGAAAGTCTGGGAAGGTGACACTCAGGTGGATTTTTGCGAGTTTCACAGACTTCCAACATTTCATTTACGTTTTTTTTCCTGGAAGGACCTCTATCCAGCAAAGTCTAAATCGGTGCGCATCAAAATGCCACGTTCCAATGTTTAATTTAATTCCCATTCTTGGTGGAAAAATTCCAAACAAGACACCCATACATCTACAATCAAATAGTTTCATTCTTTTCGGAGTTTTCAACATTTCCACTTGGGGTTTTCCTAGTTTTGGTATGTGGTTGCACCAAAAAATGGCAGTTGAATCATGGCCCCATCCGCCACCAGGAGCTCCCTGGATTGCGTCTACGTGGACGGGGATCACAGCTACGAAGGCTGCGCTGGCGACCTGGATGCCTGGTGGCCCACGCTGCGCAGCGGCGGCATTATGGCGGGGCACGTGCCTCGGAAGGGCAAGGTGGGATTGTGGGATACCGTGGGGTGGGATAAACCTGGGAATCTTGCGGTAATTTTGAGGACTGAAACAGAATCTGGAGGTGCCCTATTGGGCATCGTGGGTCATCTCTTTGGGGAAATGAGTTTGATTGACCAACGCTGTGGAGCTATGGAGATTGTAGTAGTTGTGAGCCCAATCACAGGTACTGGTCACGACCTGGGGTGAAGTTCCGCAAAACTCACGCCAAAATCGGAAGAAGATCAAAATCACAAGGATTGGCTGGGGCTTTTCGGGCTTTTCTTGAGGATCAAAACGATTTTTATAGACACACTTTCCCATCAGGATCCTCTTAGACGACCGAAGTTTTTTGAGACAGCTGCTAGACCCATCAAGCTCCATGGGTCTTCTAGAACCTCCTATAGCCTTCAAAAAACAACATCCCCATCAATTTTGAACATCAAAATTCCGAAAAGAAATTGGAGACTGACCTCCTTCCCTCTTTTTTTCCGGCCAACAACCCACCTGGCCCCATCCCGGGCCCAGGACTACACCTTGATCTGGCCCGGGGTGGTGCTAGCTGTGAACCGTTTCGCGGTGCAACAGCGAGTTGCGGTGCACTTCACGGCTGAGACCTGGTGGATGGTGAAGCCCTGATGAGATGAGATCTGGTTGGGAAAGGATGGAAAGGATGGAAAGGGAAAGGAGACAGGTTGAGATGAGAGGGATTTCCGATGATTCTGTGGCTTCATCCTCTGTTTTTTTTTATGTAGGACCAGGATTGACCGTTAAAAACCAAGTCCTTTGGCCGATGTCTTTCGAAGTGTGGATTCCGATGGCCATCGAAAGTGCAAGAGTTTGCCCGAAAGCCGTAACGGGCCAAAACATATCACTGGAAATGGGTGGGAAACATGTAGAAACAATCCTTATTGGGTTTAGCACATTGAAATCATGAGTTCGCCAGTGGTTAGCTTTCCCGCAGTTCTGTGATGTTCACTTGCTACCTGTTGAGGAGTCTGAGCGGATTGCCTGACCCTGGAAAGCCGGCTGGGAAAACCAGCGGGTGGTTCAAGCCCAACATCATTTGGAGTGGGGGCTTTGATGGATTTTCATGGATGTTTCTGTCGGAGTGCAAGTCTGAAGCAGAAGTGACATGGAGCGGCTTCGCACGAGTGAGTAAGGCAGTATTGCTCTCCCAAGTGATAGGGGAGCCCGCTACATCAGCCTGGGATGAATCGATGAAGCTGTCGCAAGTTTGTGGTGAAAAGCTGCAATCCCCAGGGACCCTTCAGCTCTGGATGCCTAACTCCTTGACTGTTCCAAGCCCAAAGGTGGCCTCCCTCAACTCCCAACTTTTTGGTAAATGAAAATTGCGCTGCCAGCAATTACTGGAAAAAGACGGCAAAGATGTGATGGCAAGAACAGCATGTTATTATCATTTCCTTTCAGTTTAATTTGGATGAGTAGGAAGCAGCTCTTATATTTATTTCGGGGGACCTCTGGATGTGCATAATTACCACGATGTAAGTGGCTAACAACCATGGTAGTTCACCCAGTTACACAGAATATACCCACTTACAGTCACTTACAGTCACTGACAGTCACTTACAGTCACTTACAATATATAATTATATGAATTATCTATGGATTATGAGCCACTTACCAGCTGGAATGCGCAAGTTACTTGGGAAAACTCTAACGAAAGGACCACGACATCACCCAAGATGGGGTTGGAAAACATGAATACATTGAGTTATGCCATAGCTGTCCCCAAGGTTGGTGAATTGTGTGTAAAAATTGGATGAGCCTCGGTTATACGGTGCTGTAATAGGTCCATGTTTTGCTAGATATGGAGGTGTATGGATCCAGCTCAAATAATGCAGGGTACCCTCCAGCAGCTAACACAGATGTGGAAACTTCGCCATGAAGGTGAATCATTTTAACGGGAAACAACCATGGCTTTCCATCGCTGTTGGTATTTTTACTGAATGGCATGTTCAGTTCCAAACCCCAAAAAAGGCGAATCATATCCCATTACATGTAGTTGTTAATTCAGTTCCCATAGTATATCTTAGCTATATAGATAGATAGATAGATAGATAGATCCCATGGTTTCCCATTAATATCCTATGAGCATCGCTTTTTTTTCAATACCCCCTATGGGTTGTATCTAAGGTTGGCCATGGTTGGCCCAAGGCCATTTCTTCCGAACCGCCAGGCGGCCCAGAGCCACCTAAGAGATCGTCACCTTGCAGGCTTTCTGACGGGCAAAGGCCGGTCCTGACCCGGGGTCATCAGTGGGTGGGTTTCACCATTCAAAACAGGCGTCTAACATGATTCAACCATTCAAAATGCCGTTCAACATTGGAAAATGTTATTTTTGCCGGGGAAGATGGGTGGTTTCTACACTTTTAACCATCCAAAACTCAGGACTCAACGAGGAACAACTGGGAAGATCAAGCCGGAGGATGTAGCAATGAAACCTAGGAATTGGATGTTCTCAACATGGGATGTTTGTTGCCAAAATCTGGTCCTCCAAATTGGATTGTTCATTCACATCCCAACCTGAGGATCATTTTGAGATATTTACCAATTTGCTGACCATTAGACCTATTAGACGCCGCTTCGAGGTCCGAAGGCTTGTTCAAGGAAAACCTGGCTTTGTAAGTCTCTAAGTTGATCAATTTATAAATCCATTTCACCTGACACATCCGCGATAAATCCGAGCAAGTTAGCCGAGTGATAGACCAAGACCAAGCAGCAGAGGAGAGGCCTACTCGTTGGAAGAATTGGAGGACTGGAAGAACTGGACGAGTAGTTCCACTCTGAAGAGATTTCTGGAGACCGTCGTGAACTCGGGGATTTACCCTCTGGTAAACATACAAAAAGCTATTGAAAATGACCATTTATAGTGGATTTTCCCATTGAAAATGGAGATTTTCTATAGCTATATTAAATTACCAGAGGGTATGCTGATTCACACCGCTGTGTAAAGGGAGCCATAGAGGTTTGGAATTTTGTGCATCCCATGTGAGATGATCCCAACTGACCTGAACGCATCATGCCATCGATACAGAAGTGACTAGTGGAATGCTACTGGGCGAAAGAAACGGTGCCTAAAAGCACAAGGATTGGGTGACATTTGGGAAACTGAAAGAGATTTGGGTCTTGTCGGTATTTTTTCCACTCTCTTTGACTCTTTGGGGCAACATTCTGGGTTTCCTTCCTTCCACAGCTGATTTTTGATGATTTTGGATCATTGGAACATCCAAATGTTCCATAGCAAGTTTCCAGCACCCAGTGCTTGTTTACCCTAGCTGTTTGTCCAAAAATAGGATGAGACAAAACCCCCTGGTTCATGACAATTGTCCTCACGGAAAAGGGTCAGTTTTGAATGCCCCCCAAAATCACCGATCCCCGAATTAGCTGAAGGGAAAAACCTGCAGGAACTTGGTAACTTGACGCTTCAAAAAGGACCTACGCTGTCCTGTAGATTTTTGGATTGGACCAGTCCTCCGAGTGTAAGAAACCAGGTTCTGTGTTCCATTCTGAAGAGGCAAAACGGGACCAGTTTTTTTCCGCAGAGGAGGCTTTTGGCACGTTGACGGAGGTCAGCTACAACCAGGACCTCGCACCATTTAGGTCCATAGAACTGAAAGGTTTAGGGGTTGAGCAATGAGCCCAGAAATGCCCGCAATCGCTGATGGATTTTGTTATTTCCCCATTCCTGTGGTGAGACGATCGCCTTGTTAAGAAAACCCTGGTGAGAGAGAGTGATGATTCAGCTGTACTGCGTGCTATAACAAAGGAGAACAGGTTGTGACCGCCATCTCACTCCTTCATGTCGCAGCAGAAAAATACAAAAACTTACTTCTGTTGACATGTGTAAGCTATGCCCCCCAAATGGCACATTTTACTAGGAACACGATTTTCGAAACCATCGCTTCTTTTTGCCCCATATTTTCTTCAACATTTTGAGGTCCCAAAGCCGGCCAGGAGGTGCTTTTAGAGAAGCCTTCGCAGCCGCCAGTGCTGGTGAAGCCATTAGATTGCGGCTGGGGATCCGAGTTTTTGAGTCAAAACCTGATGATTTTCGGAATGTGATGGATACATTTACAGATCCATATTTGTATACACAAAATCACATAAACATATACATACTCACACACACACACACGCAGAGATTAGTGTTTTTTTTTCTCTCCGGAGTCATTTCTGATTGCAGCTTGGTTTTTTTGTCGTCGAGCTCGTTGGCCAGAGATTCTCTTCCAACCCTGGCTCATGGAAATCTATCGGTACCCGATACCCCTCCAAAAAGGCGCTAGCTCATATGGTTTTTTTTCGCAGTTGCTCCTAAACCCTTGTTGGTTGATGATTGGTTCGGGGATTATACTGCCCAACTATATCCATATCATATCTGTATCTAAATCTACATCTATATCTAACATCTATATCTATGTCCATATCTAATATCCAATATCTAATGTCCAATATCCAATGCCTAATATTAATATCTGCATAATATCAATCTCTATCAATCTCTATCAATCTCTATCAATCTCTATCAATCTCTATCAACCTCTGAATCTAATATCGAATATCAATTTCAATCTCAATCTCTATCTTTATCCATCTAGTATTATATAGATACGCATCTATCTATGCATACTGGAGGCGTTTTCCAGTCAGCCCCTGGCCTCATTGCTTGAGGCCTTGGTTTGGGCAGCGCTTTGTGGGTCTTGGAATGCCACGGCCTGCGCGTCATGGTGGGCGCCATCGCTGCGGCCATGGGGGCCATGGGCTCCCGCGGCGCAGCTCTATCGGCAGCAGGGGCGCCTGGTTTTCGGATGGCTCTGGGGATCGAATGGGTGGGAGATATAAATTTGATGAATGATGGTAATATTCATAGTGATGGTGATAAATGATAGTACTAAATGATAATGAACATAGATGAAAATAGTGCTTAGGCAAGGATGATGATGATGATGATGATGATGATGAATATTATAGTTATTATTACTGTGACTATTATTACTATTATCATTATTATTATGAGTATTGCTACTGTTATTACTATTATTATCACTATATATATATTTTTAATCATTATCATCATTATTATTATCATTATCATACATGCATCTGTATATTAGATTGCTATCATTATTACTATTGATGATGATGATGATGATGATGATGAGGATGAGGACGAGGAGGAGGACGACTCGTTTTTTTTCTCCCTGCGCGGCTGATTATTTTTTTGGTCCCGCTGCCGGAAGCACCGCCGCACCATAGGGACTTTAAACCTGGCGCGACCCACAGCTTGAGCTGTCGGATTCTGTACCTTGGACCGGCGCTTTTTGGCAACTTCAGTACCTTTATTATGCTTTGCCATTTTGGGTTGATATATACTAACCCGCTGACGAGTTGAGATTTCTGCAGGGTATCTAAGATTGGGCAGTGGACTGCTTGAAATTTCCCTTGAATTTCCACTTTGAGCATGGACTTTTTGATGCAGAGATTAGGCCGCCAAGTCATGGGACTCCAGCAGAATTTCAGCGAAGATCCATAGAAGGGTCATGTTGTGAGTATCTTCACCGCCATCAACGCTGGCCCAGTCGGATATCACCAATTTGAAGGGGACCCATCAAAGGTTGGGTTTGTCCAACAATGGTGGATTTTGCGTGATTGTGCCTAGCCGAATTCATGATAAATTTATTTTTAACCCATAGAATTGTGCGGTATTCTGTTTTCAGACAAACCGAAATTGGGATTTTACCCTTGCGATTTCGATTTCAGCACCACCAATGAAAAGATGTTTCGGCACGCGCAATTCAAGCATTCTCTCGCTTGAAAGCTGACCCTCCAAACACACTTTCTTTCATTTTTCTTTGAATGGTAGGGCCCCTGAGATCCTAAGAAAATTGACGGGAACATATTGAAACTTATTGAACTTGTTTCTTTGGTGGGAAAACCGGACGGAACTGGTGGAGGCTTCTCCTCCAAGGGGATTTTTGTTCAAAGGCATGCGCGAGGAACTGTAAACAGCCAGCAGCCTGCGCCAAACTGCTGGCCCTTTCTTCAGTGAAACAATTTCACCAAGGTAGAACATAGCCATTGGGAAATGATTGGAAATGACCAGATAGGATATATTATATTTGGCTTTGGACGACTATACATGGCTCAAAAACACAAGGTGAAATCAAGAAGGGATATCTGAGAATCATTGGATCTTAGCATGCCATACCAGGTGAATTGTAAAATGTCTTGGGCGAACCACTTGAAGACCTCGACCAGTTCAAATAGCATGACATGACGGGAAAAACAGTTTTTGCTTCCCTCACCTACTGCATGGTGCCGCGTTAAAGCACTAAAGGTGGAGAAGATGGAACCATTGGAAATTTTAATAGGCAACCCGCCAGGAAACCAACCGCTGGGCCGGCCCGTTTTGACCAGCATTGCCACCTGACCCGGTTGGAAGGCGCTGACAACATCAGACGCCTTGGTGCTTCTGGGAGGCGGCCGCTGGGTTTGAAGTCGCCCTCCTGCTGTGTGCCAACGGGGCTCCGCAGATGGTTCAGCCACCCTTGGGAAACGAAACATGACCAGGGGAAGCCTTACAAATGGTGGTTTTAACCTGAAACCACCCATGTTTTTTTTCCCCATTGTTGTTACGTTTGATCACCGGAGGGGAGCTCAAAATGAGTTAGGAAGGCGCCGCGTCGTGTCGTGTGGTTTGCGCGGAGGTTTGGGGCAGGGATAGAATGCAGGAGGCAGAACTACGGGAAGGGAGGGAAGGAGGAAGGGAGGCACGGAGGACCATTCTCACCACATAAAACTTGGCGACTCGGCAGGCCTTGGTGATACAGACATTCCGCCCATGGAGCGACAGCTGCTGGAAGCGGCCAAGCAGGCGGGAGAGGTTGAGGACATGTTTCAAAGCTGGCTTCTTTGCAAGGTGAAAACACCAGCACAATACCGTAACCAAAACCACATGTGGATATGGCTGGTAAGTTTTGACGAATGGCGGTTGGTTGTGTGGCATTGCCGGTGGGCAATGAAGCAAAGGAGGTGTTCAACGAGGATTTGATCTCACGGCACCCTGTGTTGTCCAAAACAGTTTTCAGGTGGGCCATGGTTTTGCCCATAAAATTTGAAAGTGGATGTTTGGCCTTATTGATCCTGCAGCTGCAAAACAGTTGGCATCATGTATGACTGCTTGACGAGACCTCACATCATTCAGTTTTCCAAGGATGAATCCCCCAAACAAATTGCAAACCATCGCAGATGAGTCGGGGCGAACATTTGCGGGAAATCCGTGATGCAAAGGGGTGAAAATTCTGGTTTCCATGGACATCTATCAATTTGTAGATGGTCGATTTTCCCTTAGCCAGGCTGCAACCGTAATTGCGGCTGGGGGCAATTTGTTGGTGCCACTGAACCTCCACATGCAGGCCTGGGGGGGATGCATACCCTAAAGAACAATGGGTTTCAATACTAAAGCAAACCCTAGAAAACCCAATCTTGGATTATTTTGCTGTTACCAGTATGTGGAGAAACCATCAGAAAATGGGGTATCGTGAAGTTGAGCTGTCAGGTCTTGAGCAAGTAGGGCAAGGATTTTTTTTCCCCTCCAACATGTCAATGTGAGAACTTAATTTTGAAATGTTTTAAAACAATAGGACTTTTGAATGGATGTGATGTTATGCAGGGCCACGCACTAGTTCAAAATGAATATCAGTCACTGTATCCAAACTGCTGGGTTTGAAATCTGAATTCAACATATTTGTTCGTTTAATTAGGTTTAAAATCGCTGTGTGTGCTGATGTTTCTTGGCTAAAACATGTAATTCCAGCCCTTCAGCAACCAGTTTTTGTGAGTTTAAACACTTTGTTTGTCGATTCCAAACTCAGATTTACCCCGCCACCGCACCATTTTTGCCCGCAACCAACCCTAACGAAACCACCAGCAGCTCAAACACAAAACATTCTGCCGTTTAAACAATATGGACGCCTTGGCGTTCGATCTTTTTGGCCCTTTTTTGTAGGGGTGCAGTTGCACGTTCCACCATGTAGAACCACAGGCTCTTGGGGTTATGATCATAGTTATACCGTTATTATATCCATAGATAAACGTTTTCCCAGCAATGTTTAATTCCCCATCATCATTCCATCAAAGTCCCATTCAAACAACATTTTTGATGGTCACATCCTCTTAACATATATATATATATACCAAAATTATATAGGGGGTTATTCCCTTTAATATCCATTATATCCCATGAATATCCCATGAATATTCCATGAATATTCCATGAATATTCCATGAATATCCCATGAATATTCCATGAATATTCCATTACCATAGTTATACCGATGAAAACCTTCCGATTTGCCCAGTTGATGCTTTTGAACATTCTCTCACTGGGACATTCAATCCATGACTGAGGAATCAACAGCTTCCGGATCCGCAAATCCAAGGTGGACAGTTCACAGTTTATATCCCATCCATATTCCATCAATATCGCATTCATGTTACCATATTCCAGTTATATTGCCATAGTTCTACCATAGTTCTACCGCAGTTCAACCATAGTTTTTTCGCCATGAAAGTCAGCCCAACTGCAGCTGTTTTGGGCCATGGCATCTGTGAGGCCTTCGTGGCAGACCTCACGGAGCATTTGGCCAAAGCCATTGCGGAACTGCCAGCAGAGACACTGGGACGGCCGGGTGTCAGCTCCATGGCTGGGGCTTCCCCCGGCAACCGGACGGCTGCCATAAACTTACCATGGTGGATGGATGAAATCGCACCCAACAAAATGTAGATCTTGGGGGTTAGTTTATAATTGGGTTTACCATGTGACCTCCGTTGATGGGGGATTCATGGGGAGTTATAGCAACTGGTTTTGGGAAGGGGATCAAGAAATCAGCAAGTGACGCAAGAAATGGGGCCACAAAAAGCGACTTCAATCCGAAGATTCTTGGGCTGAACTTAAAAGTAGCAAAAAACATGCAACAAAAAACACATGGGGGGTTTCTTATGGTTTCTTGACCAGAACTTGGGGATTTGGAAAAATCCTCCCCACATTGGCTCAGGAATCAGGTGCCAATCTTTGCGCTTGGCACGGCGGCCAGGTGCTTGAGGCGCTGTTCGCGCTTCTCGGAATGGGCCTCCGAGAAACGCCAGGAGAATGGGCCTCTCGAATTTACCCTTTGGTAAACTGTTACGTAACTATGGAAAATCACCATTTTTAATGGCTAAATCCACTATAAATCCCCATTTTCAAGTTCGCAAGCTGTTAGTTTACCAGAGGGTAACTTCATTCATCGATCCATCACGTCAGTTTTCATCATTTCCATCATTTCTCTTCCCCAGATTAGGATGGCACTTGTAGAAGCTATCCTCATCTCAAAGCCAAGAAGTTGATGTTGCACACTCGCAATCAATCGCACGAAGTTGATGTAGCCTACAGGAACTATGGGGAGCATCATTCCCTGTTAAATGGTGAAGGCAGCCAAGGAGCTACGATTTGAATTTTTCAACCACATCATAGTGAAGCAGTTTCCAACTTCCCAGCTGGTTGATGGGTCAAAATCTCCACTCAATATATTGGCGGGACTATCACAATCCAGTATAATGATATGTACTGGGACCCCTCATCATTAAACATTGTTTTCCAACATTTGGTTAAAGTTGCAAAGTTGCAGAAAATCACACGAACCACCAAGCTTTTATGAGCTCAAAATCCAGGCTTGCCGTGGTAATTCCATGGGGTTTCAGCTCCAGGAGCGCGCCCGGCAGGGACAGCCGCCCTTTCTCATCGAGCCATTGGTGCACAGCGGGCGCCTCACTTTGCGCCTCGGATCTCGATCTTCGGGGGTCATGCTGGACTTGTAGGGGTTGATTGGTTGATAACCCATGGGGGGGTTCCATAGTCATGGAGCTAGCCGCAGCTAGCTGGATGGTTTAGAAATGGTTGATTGCATGGAAAATCCCATGATATAAGATGGATGATAACTAGGGGTACTTCCAATGCCTCAGGAAACCTACATGTAGGTATGAGTCAACTAAGACCCAAGGGACCGCAGAGAATTCTTGGCCCCACCATTTTGACCTAGACCCATACAGCAACCCCCAAAAAAGACGGCAAAGTTGGTAAAATCCAACCCTAAAACAATTAAAAAAACAGAACTTTCGATCTGTTCGAGGGTTAGTATGCCCATGACTTTTGGGATATCGTAGGATATGCACATAGCATCACATACCATCGAATCAACTAATAGATATGAACAACTCACCGTGAAAGTAGATCATTTTTGGGACGGGAAGCCAGGGTTGTTCGCCATATTGCCAATTTGCCCCGGAGGGTACAGGTTAGGATCACTTACCATATTAATCCATATTAAATATATGAATATATATTGTATATATATATATATAATTCTAAATAGACAATTACATAATTAAATTAGCAATAAATTTTATACATATGTGGAAAATATCATATATATATATATAATATAACACACTCACGCATATATATATATAAATATGTATATATATACATATATATATATATACACACCTACATACACATATACATGGGATAAACCATGATAAACCCATGCATAGATAGAGTTTTGCCATTGCTATCCACTTTTTCACAGTTGCTACCCATGGCATCCGAAGCGAGGGCCGACGATCTCAAAGACTTGGCCGCTTCCTACGAAGAGCCTGGTGGCAGAAGGGATGGTCTTTCTTGCTGGAAAATCACCCATTCATAGAATTTAGTTCGATGATTTTCGCCTCGAAGCATCAGTTTTTTGGTGGGATTTCCGGATTGCCACGATTACCAGAGAGTAGCTATCTGATATCATGTGAACATGTAGAGGGCAATCTCTGGATCAAGATTTGACTCTGTTTATTTGGAATTTAGGTGGGGGCACCCGCAATACCATGAATATTTTGGTGAGTTGAGGCAAGCACCCAAACAATGGCTCATTTTTTCTGAACATTATTTCTCTTGGATGAGATTTCGAGGGCATGGGCTTGGTGATGGCCCTGGGGTGAAACCGGTTACCCCAGTCGATTGAGTTACCCGGTGAACACCCGGAGATTGCGCATTTCCAAAGTGAGCTCCAATACTAAACAGAGGGTTCTGGGGCGGCTGTTGAATATTTCTTCGTGGTTGCTTCATGTGGATACCTACCCTTCGATCTACCCTCTGGTAAACATACAAAAAACGATGGAAAATCACCATGCTGTCAATGGGTAAAACAACGATTTCGACTGGGCCATTTTCAATAGCAAACTGTTAGTTTACCAGAGGGTACCCTTTGATCTACTTGAGGCCCTCGGTAGTCCTGGCGCCCTTGACCTTGACCGGTCACTTCGAACAGCTCTGGGTGCCTTGGAGGCAAAGCCAGGGATGTGCCCGATTTTTATGGGACAACCCTAAATTTCTGGGATTTTCATGGGATTTTACCATGAAAAGTTGTCATTTCGCGGGATTTTCATGTAGTGAGAATGGGAATTTACCATTGTTAGAATGATTTGGCTGGGGTATGACTAGGAGTATAGCCTCCATAGCTTGAGATGATGGTGGTTTCTTGGCCTCACCAGGCCGGGGAGAAATGGATGGGGGATACCCCACTTTCTTCAGCCTGCCGGGCGGCATAGCATGGTAGCAACCTCCATACGTTGGTTTTTGTGCTCCATATAACTATGGTCACAAAAACTAACCGCAAAACTGGAAGCCCCAAGATTTTCACTTCCAAAAAAGCGGACTGATAGTTTTATTTTCATCCCTAAATATCTGACTCATAGTTGTATCATTTAGTTGTATGATAGTTGTATGATTGTATAAGGTATAAGAAATACCAGTTCCATCCCGCGCCATCCGAGGCGCCAGCGCCAGCTTCCCAGGCCGACAAGGCCGACGAGGCCGAGGCCGAAGCGGCCGAAGCGGCTGAAGCGGCCGAAGCGGCCGAAGCGGCCGAGGCGGCCGAGGCGGAAGCGGCGCCAGCGCCAGCGCCAGCGCCCGAGGCGGGCTCTCTGTTGTATCACATATATATATATAGTCATATTTATTGTAGATGTAAATGTATCACGCACACACACACAAATACCCCACACACACACACATATATATATATATATATACATATATATATATATATATATACACATTCACACATACATACACACACACACATATATATATATTATATATATACACAGAACATTTGTTTTTTTGTGTATAGAATTATATGGTAAGTAGAGACGTTTTCTTTCAACCAGCTACTCCATCTCCCAAGCACCTCTTACACGGTGCCAACTGGGAGAAACCTTCAAATGCTTTTAAGGAGCCCATGTTTCAGCCACCCAAAGTGGGATAGCTTTTAGAAGATCGACTTGTTGCCGAAGTTGGGGGTGAGGATCAAATCAGAAGCTCCCTTTGCATATATATATATACACATGCACACACACATATATATATATATATATGTGCATATTTACGTGTTTACATCGGTACACACATACATACATACATACATACATACATGCATGCATACATACATACATACATACATTCTACATACATACATACATACATGCATGCATGCATACATACATACATACATACATACATACATTCTACATACATACATACATACATGCATGCATACATACATACATACATACATTCTACATACATACATACATGCATACATACATACATACATACATTCTACATACATACATACATACATGCATGCATGCATGCATACATACATACATTCTACATACATACATCTACATACATTCACATACATACATGCATGCATACATACATACATACATTCTACATACATACATACATGCATACATACATACATACATACATTCTACATACATACATACATACATACATGCATGCATACATACATACATTCTACATACATACATGCATACATACATGTATACATACATACATTCATACATACATTCTACATACATACATACATACATACATACATACATACATACATACATACATACATACATACATACATACATACATACATACATACATACATACATACATTCTACATACATTCTACATACATTCTACATACATACATACATACATGCATACATACATACATACATACATACATACATACATATACATACATACATACATACATACATACATACATACATACATACATACATACATACATACATACATACATACATACATACATACATACATACATACGGGGGGGGCCATGGTCAAGGCAGCGCTAGGGGTCTTGTACCTCCTGGCTTCCGCCACGGCAAATGGTTGGGACTTGCTGCAGTGGGGACTGCAGTCAAATGCCACTCCCCAAACGGCTCAGGAAACAGTAAACGAACCAAGCAGCTTTCGCTGGTTCAGGGCCGACCGGGGCGGGAGATCCCGCCCGGCGCAAACTGGCCCTGAAACCTCCCAGGAGACACGGCACCGATCCTGGAGAGCGACCTTTGAATCCATTGGCAGATATTGGTGGGTGCGCATCTGGGTAGACTTGATCCTGCAAGTAGCAGAGAATGGGTTACACTACTGCGGGACACTCTGCGCATCGATCGGTTTAGCTGCCAAATGGAGTTACTGGTTGCTTACAGGGGTTGTGATCGTGTTCCTGTTACAGCTGCTGGTTTGGACATACACTTGGGTTGTCCATCCAGCCTGGGTCCACTCAAGGGCCCTCTGGCGATATTGCCAGGGCACTGGGACCTGGAGTGACGTCACTCGCCTACAAGGCCAAAGGCCCTACATCCCAACGTGGAGAGGGCCTGGTACCAGCAACCCCTGGACAGCACAGTATGTCCAGAGGGAGGTGCGAGGGAGGGAGTTGAACCAACGACCTCTAGATCTCTTGGTTGCGGACGGGGTAGCAGTAGCTCGCCTCCGACACGACACAGTCAGAGGCCGCACGAACAGGCATGGGTTTGTCTGCGCTTGCAATGAGGTACGTGCCTCCTCTCACCGGTACTTTAGGCACCATCTGGAAACTGCTAATTGCACCATCCATTTGTGTTCGCAAGACCCATGCACAGCACCTGAAGCGTCGCAAGTGCACATCAAGGCCAGTTCGGTCATACCCCAGGACCGGGAGATCGATCTGCAAGACCTTGCTGGAAGGGGGCCTTGGGGTAGGTGCGCGGTCCTTACCAGCTTTTGCGGGGCCTTGTGGTGCGGATGTTGCCGCAAGAGCATATCCCGGTGTGCCAAAATCTGGTGTTGGTGTGTTTCCTGCAGGAGGCGCCCGAGGCGGGTTTCCCGCCCGGGCGAAGGGCCGGAACATGGCCCGAGCGACCGGCATGACGACTCCGAAACCGAGTCTGAAGCGGAAGTCGGACCCACGGACCAACCTTGCCAGGCGGATCAAATCGCTATTGATTCCAGTGGCAAAGTGACCTCGCTGGCCATGGAACCGTGTCGAGACATTGCAAGGGGTCAACCGGTTTGCCTCCTCAGTGCAGATAGGGCGAGCAGCTGCCTTGATGGGCTGCCTAGTCTTGCAGATGGCACCTCAGGATTCCACGCCTGTGAATATCACCGATCGATGTACCAGGGCTCGTTAGTCAACAGGGCGTGCGCGGTGCAAGGCTGCCTTAATTCAGCCACCAAGAGAAAGGAAGGCGTCCTCCTGTGCAGGTTACACAACGCCAAGGAAGAAAAACCACTTGGAAGCAAGACTACCCCACAAGCTACTACTAGGAGACAGCCCAGGGCAGGGAATGGATCAGAAGCGGTTCCTAGCACACTCAAGGCCGCTTCGCCTTTGGCAGTAGACAGCCAAGCAGCACCAAGCTCGAGGGCAGAACCAGCTGACCTAGCCGAGCTGATGGTGGAACTTCTCCAAGGGAAGGACTCGGAGTCAGCCTTCCGTTCTTTGGCAAGCTCTCGTCAAAAATGGCATGAGCCCGAATTCCGTGCAGATCTTAGCCGAATGGCGAAAGAATATATTGCTCGACAAGAAGAAAAAGGGGGGGAGCCCTCCAAAGCGTTGAGAGCCCTTAAACACTTTGTGGCACCCACCCCCCTTGGGCAACACAGCCAAGACAGTGACCCCGTCGTTACGCTCCTAGAAGCCAGAGAGACCGTAGAAGATCTACGAACCAATACTCAGGATCAAGAGCCGCGACGCACTGTGGGCGACATGCCGGAGCCCCAGGTGACTATGGCACAAGCCCTCTTCCGACCAAAGGAGCCAGGGACCACAAGCTTCCCGGGGCCGGTATCCGGCCCGGGACATGGTGGCCTCGCCTCGAGGCTCGTACCGAGCCCGGGAGCGGTTGACCTCTTTCCCGGAACGGCCCATGCGTTGCCCCCTCTGTCAGGCCAAGGCTTGGGAGCCTTCAGGCCCTATCATGCCGGGGCTTATACTGACCCGGGACCGCCCGCCCTTGATGAGGCATCTAAGGCCCTGCAGACTATTGCTAAAGCCATATCCTCCAAGGACGAACCCTCTGGTCAAGAACGGGGCAAGCTTTCTTCTATTGGCAAAACTGAAGAGCGCTTGGTCTTCTTGGCCCGGGGGTGTGACACCCTTACCGTGCACATCGGGGAGGCGACGGTAGGCAAAGACCTATATCATGCCCTAAGGTCTATGGCTTCGCAGAACAGACCTCTTCTCCGCGAGATTGGGTATCCGGTCAACATCAGCAACCGGATTGCCTTTGGAATTTCGTCCCTCAACATCGGGGGCAAGGGGTCCGTTCCGGACTACTGTCTCAGCGTGGCAGATTTTCCTCAAACATCAGAAGAAGAGTTTGACCTTTTCTCTCCTCCGGGGGATAACAAACTAGAAAAAAGGGGAAGAAACCCTACCACACTCACCGGTTGGTACAGGAATGCTTTGCGACAGGCCTGGGCCCTCGCGTGCGCTTTCGGGGCTGAATGTTACGCAAGCTGGGAGAGCGCTGCTGCGCAGCTCCTTAAGCTTGGTGAAGAATACACCCACGCTTGGCCCTTACAAGCCGTCCTCAGCACTTGGGAGGAACTCTGGGGCCGCTTCGTGGAAGAGCTCAGGGCCATCGACCGCAGCGCGCGACGGGAAATGCAAGATGAGAGTCCCAGTTTCGACAGACTGCGCTTCTTTGCCACTTCACCTGGGGCCGACGGGACGCCTTGGCTCAGGTTGCCACAGACCTTTGACTTGCAGGCCTTGGGAGAGTACTTCCAAACCGACATTGTCCCCCGTCAAAGGCGGCTTCTTGATCGAGCCTGCTGGAACATGGCATTCAAACGCCCGTCCCTAGCAGGGGGAAGGGCAGGTGAAAACGCGGATAACGCAGCGGGAAATTTGGGAGATGGCGCTAAAGCCGGAAACCAACACACTCCAAAACCCAATGCCCCAAAGGAAGTTGGTCAGCTGCTCGGGTCTCCGCTGACGCCCAAAGAAGTCAGCCGATCCATGGACCATCGACCCAAGGATCGAACAGGCAAATACCTTTGTTGGGACCATTTTTCCCACCGCAAATGCGCAAAAGGCAAAGACTGCCCCCATTCACATGTCGGGGGAGCCCCGAAGTGGGACACCCTCGATTGGAGCATTCAGATGCAGCTATTGCGCCGAGGCGGGCATCCCGCCCGGGCGAAGCTGAAAGCAGGTCAGGTCGACGCTGCAGTTGAAACTATTCGCAAGGAGCAGGCAGCGAAGCTGGCTACGAACGTACAGGAAGGAAAAAGGGCCAAAGAGCGAGAAACCTCTAAGAGGGCAGCCGGACCACCAGAAGACCCCCCTGAAAGCCACACACAATATCGTAACGATACGAGGGCTGGTTGGGTCTCTGCCCCCGGAGGGCTGAACAACTTCGCACCCACCGACATGGAGGCGCCACTTGCCTCACTGATGGGAGGGCAGGCAGAAACCAGTTGGACTGCCGATCATGCAAGCCCTGCCGTACGCACGGCCCAACTGGTCGTCCCGCACGATCAGCCGGAGGCGGGGGAGAGGCTGAGACATATGCAGGTCATTGACGACACCTTGCAGCTCCCCGCAATGCCCCCGCATCTGGGCGTGTATCTTCGGAATCGGGTGCTCACTGACGCCGCTGCCCAGCCTCAGGCTGCTGATATCCAAAGGTATCTGGAAGAAGCGGTTCAGGAAGGAAGCGCAGAACTGGCCGCAGAAGCCACCGAGTTCTTACAAACCTATCCGGACTTGCGGGTAGGGTCTGTCTCGCACCGCGGGGAGCTCAGTGTCCTGTCTGCAGACAGCAATTTGGGGGCCGCTACCGGGACCTTCACCTGGCTCGATACCACTTATCACGTCTATGATTATGGTGACCAGTTGAGCCCAGCCCATTCAGGGCTGCTGCCGTGTGACGAGCCACACCCATCGCAGGAACCCAGGCAATGTTTTTTCCTCCACGTGGCGGCTGGCCTGCTCACTAGAAAGTCCGGAACCCCGCCTACTTACGAGGAGACGTGTGTGCAGGCTCTGGCCCTTCAGCGCGAAATGTACCACTCCGCGGAAGAATGCCTTCAAGCCCTAGGGCCCGAGCCTGATCAGTGCACCCAAGCGGAGGACGACCTGCGCACTTTCGCGCATGACGCTCTCTATTACGGCCATGATAAGGATTATCGATGTTTGGCTGCTCTTCCCCTGTCGGCCGCCGATGAGCGCACCTTTTGTCTCGTCCGCATGGACGACTGGCGCCGGGTCACTTGTGAGGTCATTCAAGGGGTTAGTTCCTGCGCCACACCTCGGAGCCTCGTTTGGCTTCTGGTCCACCAAGGTCACATGCGCCTGCTCGTTCCGCCCATGGACCGGGCTTTGCCTACCGGAGCCCGCGTAGTCTCGGCTGCCGGTTGGGAACTTCACCTAGAAGCGGCTCTGACGCACGGGGCGCGCCTTCGCGCCCGTGCCGCCAAACCCTGCCCTCGGTGCTATTCGGATCCACACCGTCGCACCGGTCGTGCTGCCGGCGTTTTTGGCTTATATCCCTTTCCGTCCCCGCCACCCGTAGGCACTCGCACGGGGGCACCTGCTTGGGAAGACACCGAGCCCTCCC